TATTAAAAAGTAAAACCAATAACTAGTAGATTATGATTAATTGTTTAAGAAGCCCAGAGGTAGATTCAGCTTTCACTTTTATTTATAAAATTATGATAACTTCCCAAATAGAATACTTTTATATCTTCCCCAATTTTACATTTACCTACTGGCAGCCTGCTGGGTATCTAAATCAAGAACCTTCTCTCAGAAGCAAATCAAAATTGCTACGTGTGAATTTTTAATTTTCCAGTTCCAAAGCTTAGAAGAACCAATAAGCATGCAATCAATTTTAATTTAAATTGAAACCCACAGCTGTATTTACTGTAGATGGTCTTTCAGGAAATTTAATCTAATACAATTTCTTCACTTATCTAATCATATTGAAAGGATGTTTGGGCCAACCTGTTACAAAGAGAATATGTAATGAAATAGGAAAAGATGATGTTATGTTTTATGATGTTTCATATTGTTCTCTTATTCTTTAGTTGTGAGAAGTGGTGAGTCATTTAGATTAAACATGTCAGAGTATGTAATGATTGCTGACAATACTATGAGAAACAAAACTGAAATTGTGGCTATGAATGGAGCCACAGAAAATTCAGGACAGGACTGTTACATAGGCCCACACAGGTAGTGCATTGCTCAATTCTTAGAGGCATTGTCACATAAATTAAAACATGAAGGTGCCTCCTCCCATGGAATTGTATGTGTTTCAGTTACTCTGGATCCAGGTAATTATAAAGTGTTTTGAAAGAAAATAAAAGAACATAGTATCTTATTTTTCTTTTTGATGTATTCATCCCAGAGTCTTCAGAAATAAATTCTTATATTTGGGGATAAAAGGGAATTGATTTCAAAACTTCACAAACTTTGAAACTTTTCTAATGGAATGTTTAGGTAACCAATCTTTGAAAAAATTGTAGAGATTATAGATGACAGATGAATAGGAAGGTGGGTGGATAGATAGACCCAGAATAAAGGATGAGTTTTATTTATTTACAGGATAAAGATACTCAGTGCCCACCAGCAGTAGCCACTTGACATGCAGTATGATTCAAAGGGTTACTCAATGAACTAAATATAAACTTGCAAAGGCATAATTCAATTTCCATTTTTGATTTGCTATGTAACTGTACACAAATCACTTATGTAAATTTAATTGTGTTTTTCACTGGGACTAACCTGTAATACATATAAAATGGTTTTCTAAAAACAGTCATATTCATAAAATGTCTCAAACATTTATTTTGACATTTATGCTATCTGCATGTTTGGATTTTTATATAAAGGCAAAATTGTTTGTAAACATTTAACTTCCTTCTTTAAAAATTAAACTTTTTTAAATTTTAAAAATAGGGTGTCAAATTTTCATTTTCAGTAGGTATGACTCTTTGGCTATATATTGATCTAGATATTAGACTGACTTATACAGGCTTGGTTCAGGAGTGTATACTCCATCTCGGAAACTTATCCAGTCATTTTTCTATATTCCAACTTAACTCTGCCACGAATTTAATATTCTTTCTCCGAGTTCTCTATAACAAAAATGTAAGAAAACCCAGTGTAAGGGAACTAAGGTCCATGGGGTCTGGAGACCAGATCTAGACAAGGCACCAAGGAACAAGAAGGTTTGGGAGAGGAGAGTCAGGAAAGACTGGGATGGACAAGGAATTTATGCTTGTTTTGAAGAGTTTTTCTATAAGCATGTTGCACTGAAGATGTATTTTATCTTGTTTTTAAAAGATTCCTCAGAATGTTTGACTTTCAGCTAGGGCTTGTTTTGGGAAAGTATTTTGAGAACTCTCACATTATTTTCTTCTCCAAGTCCCATTAGAGAACTGGGTTTCTACATGGAGTGGAGTTATAAAGCAAAAACTGGGAATTTCTTTCTTCTAGCAAGTTGTGCGGTGAGAGAAAACAGATCTTATAATTCAGCTCCTATTTAATTGCTTTTGTAGCCACTCCTGAAAAGTGGCTTTGTAGCAGACAAACATCACTTTTTTTCACTATGCTCAATGGTAAAGGAGAGAATGTGAATTGGAAAGGCACACTAAAAAGTTCTGAATGAAAATTACTACATGGATGAAGTTCTAAATCATTAAGGTGAATTTTAAAACCCAGGAAAATACATATTCATACTGTATAAGTCAATTTAAATAAAATTCTAGGAAATGCAATCTAATATATAGTGTCAGAAAGCAGATCTGTGATTTCCTGGAGACGGGGAGAAATATAGAGGTGAAAGGAAGGGATTATATATAGAGAGAATGAAATCTGAGGGCTGATGAGTGTGTTTACTATATTGATTGTTTTGCCAATGGCACAGGCATAAACACACATGAATACTTTACCAGATTGTACACTTTAAGTACATACAGTTTATAGTATGTCAGGTTTACATCAATTATTAAAAATAATAGATAATAAAATATTGAAAGCAATTAAAATAACTAGAATATTAATAGTTACAACCAATTCATTTGTGCATAATTTTTGTGGCATGCAAAACAGTCAAAACCAGAAAAACAAAGATATTCTTTTATTGTCCAAACACGGTTTGCAGTCCTTTCAGTTCATTTTCCAAATGCCTCTAAGATTTTGCTTCTCATATCATGATGAAAATACAGGTTATTTAACACCAAAATAATACTTAAGATAATGTTATGAGTGCAGTAGTTGTAATCATGTTTTAAAAAATTATCTTAGTTATTTTAACGACTTGTTTTAGCCAGTTTGAATTTCTTAAATAAAATAAATAATTGTGGATCTCCTATTATTCTGTGAATTTGCCTTTACTTCTCTAACTTTTTAGCCTCCAACGTGTTCTAATATAGAAAAATTCTATTTTTCTTACTCTTTTAACATGGAGTTTGTTCTGTCTGACTTTCCCTAATGAAATTTGAAAAATACTTACATATTAACTGGATTATCAGGCAACTTTTTTGTAGCTTGAAAAGTAATAATGACTTTCAGTAATAAATAAAACTTCCCTCGGTGTCATTTCAAATTAAATTATTAGTGTCAAGTTTTCCTTCACTGTCGTGCATTTGCTTTCTTTTGTAAGCTTTTTGAAATAATGGTTTAGAGCACTGCAGATAAGTGTTTCTTTATTTCCATCTATGTTATATCAGAAGTAAAGTTTTAAGCCAAATCAGTAACTTAGGCAAATTTATATGATTTGCATTGAAGTATGTGTGGGTGTATTGCTTAAAGTTTTGGACTCATACATTAAGTTTAAAAGTAGCAATAGCTGGTATTGGCCTTCCCATGGTTGCCATTACACCTAAATTATTCAAATATCTCCTAAAAACAATGAGAGGTATTGATTTAGAAACTTAGGTCAAATTAGTTTAAAATTCCTTATTGTTTAGAGCAGTATGGTCCCCTAACCAGCAACTTCAGCAGTACATAAAAAGTTCTTAGAAATGCAATTTCTCAGGTCACGACCTACTGATTTTAAATCCCTGTGTTTTAATCAGCTATCCAGATGATTCTGACTCATGTAGTTTGACAATCACTCTTATAGATGAACATCACTGTCAACAGAACGCTTTCGAAAAAAAAAAAAAAAAATGACAGTGGTACCAATCCATGGCAGTGGTTAAAAACTTCAATCTCAAGGAAAACATATACCTACACACATATATGCACAATACCTACACAGATCTTTAATATCACTGAGTAGAAAGTTAGAAACTTTTTATGTCAGTTGCCACAGATAGGGCCAATTAGTTTCCCATTAAAGATTTGAACTGAATCGTTTTTTGCCTTTGACAATTGTTTAGATTAAACGTGAATCGTAATCCCTAGCCAGCAATTCCAACAGCGTAACCTAAAGGTAGATTCCATCTAACTAAGACATCTGAGTAATACGAGGTTTGTTTCAGCTGAAAAACACAAAAAAGAAATGGCTACCATCTCAAATTTTGACAGTTCTGTTTTTCCACAAACCATGGTAAGAATGCAGAACACGGAGGTGAAACAATTGGAACTCATATCAGAATAGATCAGCGTGTTGCAGAGACTGAGAAAATGCTACAAGCTCCCAGCTGGGAAAACTTGTAATTGCAACCAGCCAGAACGTTGATATAGAGATAGCAAAATTACTAACAAGGGAAAATGAAAATTTAGGAGACAAATAGAGGAAGTGTTTTCCTATGTATGACAAGAACCCTAGTAAATATGACAAAGTGCTCGTCAAGAGCAGAATGTTGAACTGGCATGAAGAAAATATAAAATTGATTACTACAATGACAAGCCACATAAAATCCCATAATAACAGAACAGGAACTCATTTCAAATAAAAGTGAAATAAAAACACTCTCCCAAATTAAGGGGGAAAATGTGAACAAACTAAACTTCATGCTTTGGGCAATTCTGTAACCAGAAACTATCGTCAAAAGCAATCAAGACTAATGGTAACATTATCATAACAGAAGAATACATATGGCTCTAGGGATTTCTTCAATATATATATCTATAGCCTCAGTGTGTAACATCAGGAAAGCAGCAATCTAGGAGCTAATACCCCATTACAGTAGAATTTGAAAAAAGCTATCCCATAAATTCATTTCTAAGCCAAGAAGTATCTCTTCCTTGATTCAGGCATACCAAAATGCAGAGAGGCAGAAATATACTTCAGTTATGTATTCAGAATCGCAACACTATACATATTGATATCAATTCGAAAATGTATCATTACAGCTGCTTATTATTAATGAAGTCTTGTGCTAAAGTCAGAGAATTGAAGGGATCAGGAAGATTCTACATCTTATTTGCAATGATTATCCCTGAAAAGTTATTCAGTTGCAACTGAATTGCAAGCACTATATGAGTGATTGTTAAACGTCTCATGAACACAATGACTTATGTTGTCGGTAAACTGCTTGCTCTAATTAATAAAATTCTGTTGGACAAGATTTCTCATGTTAGAAGGCAACTAGGGTACAGTTTATTAGCAGTGGATATACAAAACCCTTAAAAAGTTACCAACAATAGACGTATAGAATACTACTCACCTGTATTAGGTGAGATAGTTCTGGTTGGTGGGTTGGTGTAGGTGCACCTGAGTTTCAGAGTTCGCTATAATCCCCAAATCAACAAATTGGGCAGTAGCCAATTTGGTTTAATAACCAAAACTGTGGGATCTTTGCAGCTCTGTAAAGAGATGCTTCTGTGAATTAAATGGTGCTCTCTGCTCTCTTCCCTTTTACACTGTTTCTCATCCTGGCATTCACCCACATTTCTCTTACACACAGCACTTGTTTTGTTTGTTTTGTTCTGATGAGGCTACTTTGTCCATCTGCCACAAGCAGAAGAAAATAGTCCACTACAATGGATGCTAAGAATAGCTTGTTGGTGGGTACAAACATTTAGTTAGTTAGAGGAATAAGTTCTAGTGTTCAGTAGCACAATAGGGTGACTATAGTTAATGATTATTTATTGTATATTTCCAAATAATAAGAGTGTATTTGAAATGTCCCCAACATAAAAAAATGATACATGTTTGAGGTGATGAATATCCCAGCTACCCAGATTTGATCATTACACACTGCATGCTTGTTTCAGAATATCACATGTACCCCGCAGATATGTATAACTATTGTATATTCATAATAATTAAAAATAAAAAATAGCTTCTGGATATTTAAAAATAAAATTCTAAATATAAGGACATTATCTACAGGGAGTTATTTATTGTTAGAGTACAAAAAATGAGCCTACTATTGCCCATTACATATTATTCTGTACCATTTAACTCTTTTTTTTTACCATGCCCATGTGTTCAATATTTAAATAAATTTTTAAAAGTCACATTTAAGCATTCAAAATTTCTTCTCAACTTCATGAATTCATGTGATCTAAAAATCTCTATGGTATACAAACTTATATAACTTAAACTCTTTTTTTTTTTACAAAAGTCATAAATTAGAAATAAAAAGCAAATCGAAAGTGAAATTCCTTATCAAAATAATTTTGTTAAATGAAAATACACATATATGTACTAAAGCGTTCTGATTCTGCATTATTAAATACATTTTCATTTCCTTCTGCTACTTAACTTTTGGCTCTCCATCTCTACTCTAAAATGAAGATATTTAAATATTTATAGAAGATAATATGGATGCTGCTGACTTTTTCCCCCAATACTCAGTGTCTTTTTATTTCATTGGGACTGTTACTTACTTTTATATGTCACTGTTTTCCCAAGCACATGATGTAAGATATGTATGCAGGGCTAAACTCTGTCTTTCTCCTCTCCACTAATTTCATGCCTCCAGAAGAGCTGTTATTTTATTTATTTAGACAGAGTATCGCTCTTTGCCCAGGCTGGAATGCAGTGGTGTGATCTCAGCTCACTGCATCCCCCCACCTCCCAGGTTCAAGCGATTCTCCTGCTTCAGCCTCCTGAGTAGCTGGGACTACAGGTGCATGTTACCATGCCTGGCTAATTTTTTTTTTTTTTTTTTTTTTGTATTTTTAGTAGATACGGGGTTTCACCATGTTAGCCAGGATGGTCTCAATCTCCTGACCTCATGATCTGGCAGCCTCAACCTCCCAAAGTGCACACACACACACACACACACACACACACGTCATGTCAGTGTTTTGGTTTATTCTTTAGTTTCTCTCATGTGTCCTGATACTTTATTGCAATCATCCTCCTTCTTCCATTCATTTTAACTGTTTTGTATATTTTCATCTCCTGGATCCCAAAGGAAGATATTAGGAAGTAATAATGATAGCAAAATCTAGAGACAGGCAGGAGATCTAGTACTAATTTTGTTAAACATGAGCAGTATCCACTTTAAAAATTTAAATATGTGAGTCTCAGTTAACTCATTCATAGAGAAACTTGTGAGAATTAGAGATGTTTCACTCTATATAGAAAAAAGACAGAAATGCATTATCTCAAAATGTCTGTGAAATGTAACAAAAACTGTGGATTAAGTTTGATGATACTTCAATATATGAAATAGGAATACTGCACATAGATATTTTCTGATCATAATGTAACTATGTTATATATTAATATAAAAGAATTTTTTTATTTTTGGGCCTCAATCAGAAGGACTAGCATCATAGGCATGAGCCACTGAAACTTATCTTTTTAATTGGCTTGCTTATGAGAGGAGTATCTTAGTTATAGACTTCTCCCAGTGCAGCTATAGATGTCCCCTAATTTATTAATTCTAATATTTTTGCATTTTCATTATTTTCTGATCGAGTCCCCCCCCCAAAAAAAGGAGAGAGATCCACGATGGCTGATCACTAACAGCTCAGGATTGTAGCTCCCAGTGAAAGCTCAGAGAACGAGAGGACGCCACACTTTCAGATGAATTTTTGTTGCTCACTGACCAGCAGATTTCTAGTGGAGGAGCCCCACGGGTCGCCAGCGTGATTCTTGTGGCCGGCGCAGCGGTTTTGCTGGCACCTTGGTGCGGCAGCTCTTCATGCAGAGTAAATGGGACTGGTTCCCTTACTGACTGGTGTTTGGAGCTCCGGGAAGGCAGAGCCACTTGTTGTGGACTCAAGAAGGAAGCCAGACCAGAGATTCACGGGCAGAAGAGCACCATCAGTCTTATCGCTGCTATTTTGGCCAGCGCAGTGGGTTGCTTGAATTCCAGCATTGGGAATCAATAAATTGGATGTCGACTCAGAAACCTAATTAGAAAGGCGGTAATTGTAAAGATGACAGATGGATAAATTTATAATAATGGGAAAAAACCAGCCTAAGAAGGCCGAGCATACACAAAATCAGAACCCCTCTCCCTCTACAGGGGATTGCAGTTCCTCATCAGCAACAGCCCTGATGGAAAAGAACTGTGTTCCATTATCTGAAGTAGGCTTCAGAAGGTGGATGATAAGAAACTTCTGGGAATTAAAAGAACTTGTTCTAATCCAATGTAAAGAAACTAAGAACTTTGAAAAAAGGTTTGACAAAATGCTAACAAGAATAGACAATATAGAGAGGAATGTAAATGAACTAACAGAGTTGAAAAACACAACACAAAAAATTAGCAAAATATGCACAAGTTTGAATAGCTGAACTGATCAAGCAGAAGAAAGGATATCAGAGTTCGAAGACCAACTTAATGAAATAAAATGAGAAGGCAAGAATAGAGAAAAAAGGATAAAGAGGAATGAGCAAGGTCTCCAAGAAATATGAGACTATGTGAAAAGACCTAATTTACGTTTGACACGTGTACCTGAATATGACGAAGAGAATGAATCCAAGCTGAAAAATACTTTTCAGGATATTATTCAGGAAAACTTTCCCAATATAGCAAAGCAGGACAATATTCAACCCCTGCTAATACAGAGAACACCACAAAGATATTCCTCAAGAAGAGCAACCCCAAGGCACATAATCGTCAGATTCACCAGGGTTGAAATGAAGGAGAAAATACTAAGGGCAGCCAGAGAGAAAGGTCAGGTTACCCACAAAGGGAAGCCTATTAGACTTACAGCAGATCTCTCAGCAGAAACCCTACAAGCCAGAAGAGAGTGGGGGCCAATATTCAACATACTTATAGAACAGAACTTTCAGCCTAGAATCTCATATCCTGCCAAACTAAGCTTCACAGTTGAAGGAAAAATAAAATCTTTTATGAACAAGCAAGTACTCTGAGATTTTATTACCACCATGCCTGCTTTACAAGAACTTCTGAAAGCAGCATTATACATAGAAAGGAACAACCAGTATGAGCCTTTCTAAAAATATACCAAAAAGTAAAGAGCATCAACATAAAGAAGAATTTACATTAACGAATGGATAAAATAGCCAGTTAACATCAAATGGCAGTAACCCTAAATTTAAATCGACTAAATCCCCCAGTCAAAAGATACGGCCAAAACCTAACAGTATATCCAAAGATACACAAAGACTCAAAACAAAAGTTTGGAGAAAAATTTACCAACCAAATGGAGAGCAAAAATAAATAAATAAACAAAAAGCAGGAGTTGCAATTCTCACATTTGATAAAATATATTTCAAATCAACAAAGATACAGTGGTAAAAGGATCAATGCAACAATAAGAGATCTTAATACCCAGATACATAAGACCCATAACGAGATTTAGACTCAACAAAACAGAAAATTAATAAGGATATCCAGGACTTTAACTCAGATCTGGAACAAGTAAACTCAATAAATATTTATAGAGTTCTCCATTTTAAATACACAAAATATTGATCGGCCATTAGTAATACCCATTTTTAGAATGAAGCAATATTCCTGTTCTCTCTCCCTCTTTTTCTTCCTCCTTCTTCCTCTCCTTCTCTCCTTTTTTTACTTTTCAACATCCTAGTTCCTCACCGCTACTCAATACATTCCTCTGAACACCTGATTCCTTGTGATTCTCCTGTCCCAGTGAAACCTCCAATCCGTTAAATAAATAAATAAAATAAAACTATAGCTTTTTCTCCAAAATGGACTAATTTCTCCCCCTTAGGAATGCTTGGTAATTGTATAATTTTGTTTAATTCTAAAATATTTATTTCATACATTTCTTTCTGAGTGCTATAAGAAAAAATGAAAGTGAACCATAAGTTTCTCCTGTAAGTAGATAACATTGTATGCTTGTCATTTGCTTACTTACTAACAAATTCATTTCTTTCACTTTAAAAAAAAAGAAAATTCCTTAGTGTTTGGACTTGAAACAAGATGCTACTATATAACTCGTGTATTAAAGATGAAATCAAGTGCAAAATAGAAGATATTTTAATTGAATGATAATAAAAACATATCAAATTTGTGGGATACAGCTGAAGTTGTGCTTAGAAAGAAATGCATAACTTTAAATGCATATATCAGAAAGGAAGAGTGCCTGAAAATCAATGATCTAAGTAACTTAAAAAGTTACTAAAAGAAGGGCACATTACACTCAGATAAAGTAGAAATTATAAAAAGTAAAAGTAGAAATCAATGAATTAAGAAACGAAGCTTGACTCTTTAAAAACACGAATAAAATTAATCAACCCCTAGCAAAAGTAGTAAAGGAAAAAAAGAGAAAAAAAAAAAAGAATAAGAAAACATTTTTTTTTAACATCTCACTTGATAGCCTGGGTTAAGGAAGAAATCAAAGGGTTGTTTAAAATTATTTAGAAAATAATGAAAATACAAACATATTAAAATTAATAAATTAGGGGACATCTATAACTGCACTGGGAGAAGTCTATAACTAAGATACTCCTCTCAT